AAGCTAAACTGCTCAAAGCTATTTTCACTTTGCTGTTAGGTGATATGAACACTGGGTCATGGCCACGACTTCCTCCACATGGATGAACTTACCAAGTGTGCTTCTGGGACGCAAAGTACAAGACGGCATGAAACATTCAGGAAATGACAGCTGTGCCAGTCTCCAGAGTGTAAGAATATATGAGGAAATAGCCTGGTGGGGGATGCATTTGTACTCAAATTTAGTCCCCTGCACACTATGAGCTCTCCAAGGCTTTCCCTCTTCCTCCAGAGTACTTCACACCCCTTTCCTCTCACCCAGCAGGAAAACTAGGACCGTGATTGCAAGGGTAAAAAATAAATGACCCCTTCTTTCCCTGCATACCTGAAATGCTGATGGTTGCTGCAGCTTTTGCGGCTCCCAAAATTTTTTTGCTGTGTTTGTTTGGGGCGAGGCAAGTGAACAGGCCTGGTCGGGAGACATACACCTGCAGTCTGGAGTCAACCACCCTGTCCTTGACACTTTCCACAATAGATCCTGCAGAAACCTAAAATAGTGGAAAGTCTCGTGCAGTGATATTTCCAACAAAGACAAACAAGCAAACCAAGTGAAAATCTAAGAAACACAGTCCCAAATGTTTAAATTAGCAGAGAAAGATGTGGCAACTAAACAAAAGTGTCAGGGAGCTAAAGCTGCTGGCATTACTTTGGTGCTTTCATACTACCTGACTTCACAGACAAAAGTCAATGTTAAAGAGCTCTCCTATTTCACACTTCAGCAATACTTTTGCAATTAATTTTCAGTTTCAGAGGGCCATAGTTGCAATTTGGCTTGTGTAATTGAGATGGCTTATTACTCCAGGTCTTATAGTAGTAGTTTATTTGCCTATTCATATCTTAACAAGGAAAAGTATGAAGTGACTTTGTGGATATCAGCTATACAGAGGAAGAAAAGAAAATAGTTTAGAGGTAGTTGATTTTGGATTAATATAGCCACTGCCACACTTTCAAACAAGTCATGGGCAAAGAAAGCACTCTGAATCCAGCACTTGAGCAGATATCTGATAGATTTTCTTATCTCACAACTGGAAATATGGAAGGAGCTGCAAATGTGGTGATTTTGGCCAGATCTTCTCCCAGATTAGAAATTCACAGGTAAATGAGTTTCGAGCCTGCTGATTTGGGCCAGCTAGGTTTGACTTTATCAAGTCTTTCCTGCTCATATGGAATTCATTAAAGTAGGAAGGCATGGTACATCAAGACTCTACCTTGCAAAGGCAGTAGGAAGAAGTAGCAATGCCTGCTCTAACCTTCCTACTGATAGGCAGCATCAAATCTAATTCAAATGAGATGTGGTTGCACATGGACCCCACAGATGTGACCTGACTCTCAGAACAGTTAGAATTGTCTCCCTGGGTCTATTTCAGAAAAGTACTCTACCTACACATTTAACTGAGATGATAGAGATATCAGTCTGACCTTCCTATAGCTTAGTAGAAATCTGATTTCAATGAGATCTTTCAATGATATGAAATAAACATAGGCATTAACAGTGATAACTGAAAAAGCAAGAAGGAACACGTCAGTGTTGTATCACATCTTTTGCAAGCAGATTGAATTCTCTCTGAAGAGAAAATGCTGAAAAGCATGTATTTGTTTTGCCTCACTGAAGCTAAACTTAGAGTTGCAGTGAGAGAACATGTGTGGGAAGAAATCACTAAATAATCAGACCAGCACAATTTTTAAATATTGCACCTGGGATGGGTGGTATGCCAGTCGCTGTACAAATGCAGACACCAGGGATATTTTTAGCCTTATGCTGTGAAGTCAGTTTGAGTGGATGGGAGCTCAGGAGATAATTTTTCACTCTTTTCTCTTTTTTTACAGTGCTAGTCAGATTTAGTTTTAGAAACTTTTTCTCTCCAGAAACCACTCAGCCCTAAAATGCTGCAAGGACCTTCCCAGTAGAAAGGAGAGATCTCTTACAGGCTGTCCCTGCCTCTCAGCATCCACCTGGGATAAGTGGCTGCTTGCCATGAGCCACTTGAGCTGATCCAATCTTCTCTTCCTGCTTGCTCTCCAGGCTTCATGTGTATCACATCTGTCAGTGCTGGACTGTGCCTAGTGAACACAGAAAACTGGCATTGCTCCTTCCACCTTGGGATGCAGGAGGAAGAGGTTGCTTAGGTAACTGCAATGCAGTCCACCTACTTCCTGAAGGCTTTCCCAGAGATGGGTTCTCATAAGGTCTTCTTGCCATATTTAAAATGAGTCAGTCTGGGGCACTATCCTTCTGGGACTGAGCTATGCCTTGCAGACAGGAATGGAGTAGACTAGATACGACCAACTAGGGAGTGGCCCAGGCACGGGCTGAGCATTGTCTCACAGACTGCTCTCTGTGGGACACAGGCACAGGGAGCTTGGCAGACCACAGGTGTGTGCTCTGGAAATATTTGGTCCTTGCCAGGTACTTCAGACCCCCACAAAAGGTTTCATCCTCAGTGGGGAAGAAGCCTTAAATAAACATCTGCAATTGTCTTGAACTAATTAGTGCCAGAAACAACCAAGAGCACATGGGTCTCTGCAGAAGCTGATTTCACCCCTTTACTGTTCTCCCTAGAAGCCTCGAGGGAATACAAAAAAATTAGCCTTAATCAGACTGGAGGACACAATAAGGTGTAGAGGAGGTAAGGAAGGGAAGACAGTCTGCAGAGTAGCCATGGGTCCTTAATAACACATTTCAATACATGGAAAGAGGAAATAGAGACCAGAATGGTGATAGCCCCCTGAAGAAATAAACTTGAGTGAGAGGACTGATTGGTCCTGTTGGACAAGCAAGTCCACAGGAATGGTCATGACCATCCTGTGGTCAGAAGGCCTTGAGGTTGGACAGGGGATCAGTGAGAAAGGGCCGATGCAAATAGACAGCTTGCACTCAGAAAACACTCCACCTGCCTCCACAGCCTCATGCCCTGGGGCTCATATCCTTAAAAAAGCTGTTGAAAGATCACAGAGAGTATAGTATATGTTCACCATAACCATATGAAGACTAGAGGAACCCCATGGCAGGCTTAGGCTGCAGAGCTGCTGAAACTGTGGTGCACCACTCACGCCCGCAGAGGCAATATCAGATGTCAAGCAGCAGTTCAGTCCAGCTGAAGAGAAGGCACTGCAATAGCCTATGCACAGTCATGAAAGACAAATCCAAGCGAGCACCTATTTTAAATGATTGGGATCATTAGACATGGAACAATTTCCTGTGAGATGCAGTAGATTTGCATCTCTTGGTGCCTGCCACCAGTGCCTTGCAGACACCTGCCACTTGGTGTGCTTTGCTTAAGGACATGCTTGTAGCCAGGAGTAAATTGGTAACATACTCCAAGTCACCTAAAACATGCTGTGCATACCTGCTGTCTCATGGGTATTTTACTTCAAGATAGTTAGCTCTATCTAACTCCTTGGTTCTTGTTATTTTGACAAATAAGCAATTTTTCCATGTGATAGTTATTGCATTAGAAGAAAGGAAAGGAAAGATAGCTACAGAAATACTTAAACCCATGATGAAGTCCCAGAAACCCTTGGTTTGGAGGAAGACTGAAATGGTCTAGAGTACCTTTCATCTTGGGCTTTCCAGATCCTAACAAATTTACTCAAAAAACACCCTGGAGAAGGGGAAGAGTGTTTTTCAGAGGAGAAAACTGCAGCAGAGAAGTGAGGTGGACTCAACCAGATTGCACAGGTGCTAAGTAAGGCAGGAATAGAAGCCACTGACACTGGCCCCCAGCCCTGCAATTCTAATCCCTGGGCTGTGCTTCCAGCTGCTATCAGTCCTCCAGGGCCAAAAGCATGAAAAAGAGGCACTTACAGCTTTCCCATTTTCCAGCCAGGTGACGGTAGGGACTGGAAGCCCGGTTGCCGTGCACTGCAATGTCACCACAGACCCAAAGGTGATATTCTGGGATTCAGGAGCCTTCAGAATTCTGGCAAACACTGCAAGAGAAAACAAAGGTGCTAGCTGAATGGTGATGTCAAGCTGAGGCTGTGCCGGCAGGGTGGTGCTCCCTCCCCAGCAGGTCTTGATATAAACCACAGCTCTGCGAATAAAAGCAGAGCATAGCACAGGCTCCCCAGAGACTCACAGTCTTGGGAGAGAGACAAGGAGGTGAAAAAATAGTGATTGGTGCAATTATGCTCTGCACCTTACAGACCAAATTTTTACCTCTGGAAATTTCTACATTTGTCAGCAGCACGCAGATGGGACAGCCTGCTTCCCCATCAAGAGTGACCTCCTGAGAAACTTGTTCACAACCATCAAGGAGGACCAGCAGTGTGGACACATACCACGAAGGTTAAGGGTCAGATAAGCTCCTCAGTCTGATCACAGTGATTAGGAATTGCCACTGAGGGCTGCAAACACTGGCATTTTCCATGCCATGACAAGCTGCCCTACGGCTAGAAAGACTAACATTGAGTTATGAAGGAATGGCTGGCAAAGACTCTGGAAAGATGAGATTGCAGCAAAAAAAAGTAGATTATTAAAGTGATTTCTCACTTCTACTGCTCTTGCTTCTTTTGGGCAATATGGTTACTGGGCAGCAGGAGGATAAGCAAGACAAGCACCACCCTGCACAAAGTGTTTTGTTTAGGAAGGTTTATTTGGGTGAGGGGAGTAACAACTGTAGCATTTTTGCTGAAAATGTATTTCAATCCAGAAACACTCAGATGGTCTTCACAAGCTGCTGTATTTGGATCACATAGAGGAAAGAAGAAAAGAGATATTTCCCACTTGGAACATTTGAGTTTTGACCCAAAAATTTTAATGGAGATGCCAGAATGTCTGTACAGAAGCAGGCTGAATAACTCTGCCATTTCTCATTCCAATTTCTCGTGCTTACTGAGTAACACCTTCTAGACTGCACAGCAATGACTTAAAGTCTCCATCAGAAACTTTAGCAAGCAGGGAAGTTTCTCCTGGAGTTCTCAGACAAGCCTGGTGTCTTGTTTGCCTCTTTTTCTGTCTGTATGTTTCCCCTTATCAATATATTTGATCATGTCTCAGTCTTCTGTGCCTCCACTTGTTCAGTTCAGAAACAGAATATTGTCCCCACTATTTGGGATGGGAAGGCTTTGTCTGCAAAATTTTTGTTGAAATGAAAAATGCATATGCTTTCCACAGTCATTCCACATAGTTCCGACCTGGGGTGGGGCTGAGATTTGTTTGTTAGTTAATGAAGAGCCTAAAACCAGCTTTGCTCATGGATAGGTGACAGTAGGAGTTCATTCCAGCATGAAAACCTTTTGTTTTAGGAGCACAGTCATTCAATAGGCTTCTGGGAGGAGGTATTTATGAAAATTAAATTTAATGTCAGTGAAGTGAAAATGGTGAGAAGAAAAATATTGTATGGAGCTTCTTAATTCTTCTATGGACTCCAAGCAGTCTCACTGTCCGTGCCCAGTGCTACTTGCTTAAAGTTTAAGCAGAGCAGCATCAGGCTGCTGCATGCTCCCTACCCCTCAGTGAGGCAGAAGGTATGAAGCTCCACCACTAATGAGTAAAGCTGCAATTGCTGGCCAGGGACTTTTCTGATGAATAATAAGTAAAATGAAACCTTTGCTTGAAGTTTCACTTCAGGCCATTAACAACAGATGGTCATGAATTTGGACTTGAGTGTTACAAAGCCAAGCTCATCATTACTTTTATTGTTCATTTGGAGAAATTCTAAACCTTTGGTCCTGTCTCCTGGCAGCAGTTACATGCCCATGGCTCCCCCTGAAGCCAGCACATTAGCTCCTAGAGTCATAATACTGGCCTTTAGTGCTTTTTTTGTGCTGCTCTTGGTTTCTTAGTGTGCTGGTCGGACCCTGCCCGCTGATGACTCTACTGCTAGGATCCTGCCCTGTTTAGTTAATAACAAAGTGACAAATTACCAGCACCCAGTTAGTCGATACTGGACACTGGCACATATGCCCCCTTCTGTACCAGCTGATTGCCCAAAATCTGCTAGGATATTTTAGCCAGGAGAAAAAAAAGACGCACTTTTAAAATTATGGCAGAAGCACAGGCAGGGTGCAAAGCCACTGTGAGCACTATGGCTGGTCCAGCTCATGCATGGCATGGCACTTACTGGG